TTAGACACGCGCTTGCGATTCTCGCGAGTCCACCTGGTTCATATCTCATTCCGCTTGTTGTTATTAGAGAGGCACGATGGTGAGTTTTACGCACGTTCTCGCTGTATCCATCTCCCTTTTTGCGATCCTACCCTCCCGCACGCCAAGATACTTAAAAATCGCATCTGCAACCACTGATCCCGTTTTATATATGTTTCAGTCTGCACACAAGACGTTTTTGATTAAGCGAAAACTCTCAAAAAAATTAAATCAAAACAGGCCGATCCCTCAGTGGATCAGAATGAGGTCTGGGAACAGTATTAGGTAAGTTCGAGCCTGATGTAATTGTGCAAACGTTACTATAGTATGTGTATCAAAATAAAAGTAGTGTTACACAGTATATAATTGTCGTTGCGAGAAATAATTAAAATGTATGTTCTAATTGGAATTTATATCTTCATACAATTTGGTATCGTTTTGGCTTATTTTCAGGTATAACGCTAAGAGGCGCCATTGGAGGAGGACTAAACTGAAGTTGTAAACCTCACCTGGCCCGAATGTTCAATAAATCGGTCAATACATAAAAGAATTAAGCTTTAATCAATGTTCTCACACAACGACGGTCCGCGTTACCGATCTTGCGTCTCAGGTGTCTAAACATGTTGACTCGCGAAATTCGAGGCACATGTCCCAGCCTTCCTGATCTCTTCGTAAATATTAATCGAGATGTCCAATGAGTCCATTTGATTTTCGCACGCATACCTAATGTTATCCATATGTCTCAGGGGAGACTCCGACTGAATCTAGTCGCTCGCTGACAAAGTTTTGTTCTCGTCGGGAAACAATTTCTGGCAATACGCTTCCAAATTTTCAATTACGCAAATTCGTGCTGCACGTCGCGGAAACGTGAAAGCCGCGTGCTGGCGCGAGACTCGTCGCGGTCGACTACATTCGTCCTGTTGATCGCGGACCTGCCGCACAACGCTAAATTTCTGACACTGATGAATACTCCGCGTAGTCTGCAAACATGACAATTCGCCCATGAATCGACGCTCTTACACAGAGCACAAAATTATAATTGAACGACGATGAAATTGTCACATATGCCGTTCAATACAGCGAAAATATAAGACACGATAAACGAGATTCGTATGCGGCGACGAGGTTTATTACGACGCGACGTTCGTAAAGAAAAGCGTACAACATAACCTATAATAATCGTTCGATAATTCTTAAATTGAATTACGGATACGTTCTTGCGTGGACTGAATACTTTTGCCAGAGAGATTTTCAGTTTCGCGAGTGCCTCTGGCGCGTATTAATTATACTTGATCTCATATAAATGAATGGATCCTTAGCGCACGTACAGAAACCGACACCTAGCGCGGTCCAACATGGCTCGACTAACCTCGATAAACGGACGCGACTGAACGCTTGCTGTTCCTCGTATTATAAGCGAAGGCTAGACTTTCTACGCTTGAAAATGAAGTAGACGCTTTAGAGAAGAACTAAAGTTTAATTTTACGATAGTACATAATTCCAATTTGAATTGTACATTTATAAAGCCTTTGTAAAATGAGAAAAAACGAAGAAAGGGAGGACAAAAACTTGAAATAATTCAAATTAACGAAAGTAATGTTGGAGAACGTTTAGGCAACGTAAGCCATCACCAGTTGACAATGGTGTAAAACAAATTTTTTTATATATATTGCATTGGTATTAACAGATTTTTAATCGTTAATTAATTTTGCAAAACTCATGGTCGAAACGTAGCGATTCTTAAACATAAAAATTGCCAGATAATAAATTGATCCTCGTTAAAACTGTCATAAAAAGTTTAATCTAATATTCCTGTATTATGGTACAATATAGTAACAAAAATAAACGATTTGAAGTATACAAATCTTTACACGAGTCACTCGCAATTTACAGCTTCCCCGTTAGCTCGGGCACGGCCTTAAATAAATCCGCGACCAATCCGTAATCCGCTACTTGAAAGATGGGAGCCTCGGGGTCCTTGTTGATCGCCACAATCGTTTTGGAATCCTTCATACCAGCGAGGTGCTGAATCGCCCCCGAAATCCCAACCGCTATGTACAGATTCTGAAACCGCAATAATGAAATTGTTGCATTCCCAGTCAAGCCTGTCGCTTCCCAGATAGACACACAGAGTTCTATGAATATTCTTAATTTCAGAATATTCCAATCGTATAGTCTATAAATATATATAGATTATTACAAAGGAGAAGGGAAACACTTCGAAGCGTTCGTAGCGGAGCATTTGTTGCTTGACCGCGACACACAAGATTGAAACAACCCAGATAGCATGCTTGTTTAAAAGACATCTTCAAGACTTCTTTAAGACGTCTTTAAGATATCTGTTAGACGTGTATGTCTAAAAGATGTCTAAAAGACGTGTTAAAGACGTCTTAAAGATGTCTTTTATAGCTGATTTTTTCACTTCCCGATAAAATTATCCGGAGGTTAATCTCAAGTTTTGGTCAATCACGTGCATGGATCTGGTAGTTATCTCCTGTTTAACTTTAACCGTAACATAACTGGATGTGAAGAAATTGGGCATTAGACATGCATGTTATCTGGGAAGAGAGCAACCGATAAGGCACGTCGTATCAATTCCCTCACGGCGTTTATGTCAGAAAGATCTCCATTTATATTTTACATTTTTCGCGACAAACTTTCCGCAAGTTACGCCGGATATTACTTGTTCCGTTATCAATTTTTACTTACAGGCGCGACAATTTTCCCGGTTTGCCCCACTTGCATGTCGTTCGGCACGAAGCCGGCGTCGACCGCGGCGCTGGACGCACCCACGGCCGCGTTGAGCTTGTCCGCCAATGTGTACAACTGGAAGTTCTCCCCGGACTACATTCCACGTCCACCGGAGATGACAACTTTGGCGGACGTCAATTCGGTCCTGTCGGACTTGCTGAGCTTTTGCTTGACATACTCCACTTGGCCGGAGGCGCAATCGCTAGTAGGGACGCTCTCGCACTTGGCGTCGCCACCCTCCAGAGGCAGCGGCTCGAAAGAGGTGCCTCTCACGGACACCACCTTCACGTTATCCTTGGACTTGAGAGTCTGAATAGCATTGCCGGCGTAAATAGTGCGCACGAAGGTATCCGGGACTTTTACGTCGGTAATGTCGCTTATCAGGAACACGTCCAACTTGGCTGCAACCTTAAACAAATTTATATACGTGAATTGGCATAGGATCAACGGGTGCTTTCCAGCGAGAGACAGAAGCCTAGCGTGTTGTAACGCAGAGAATCATTTCGTCTTTACTAATCGGAAACAATAGAGATGAAACGATTAACTGTGTTACACAGGGTCGCCTGATAAACGTACGCGCGAATTCTGCTCTTACGGAAAAGTCACGCATTTGCTTTTAGTCAAACGACTTGCGAGTTTTCCGTGAAAACTGAATTCTCGTATTTTGTCTTTCGAGTAAATTCAAGAGTCGAGCACCAGGCATACCTGCCTGTCTGTCTGCTGCTGGAAGGCATCCGACGTAATTGTTCTTGTCAGGATGCAACTGAAACGCCAATTTCTTGTACGTCTTCTTGATGTCGCTGTCCGTAGCATCTTTGCTGACGCCCAAAATCTCGTAATAATCCTTGCATTTCTTTATCCTGCGACAGACAAAACGAAGCACAATTTATACCAAAAAGAAAAAATGTGACATATAAATTGATAAAAAACAAATACATTGTTCCAAAATAATCTACGCGATCTCGAAATATCTACCTCTTGACGTGCTCCAACTGCTCCTTTGTGTATTCAGAATTACTTTGGGAATGTGCTCCGTCTTTAGCTACATTTTGCCGCTTTCTAACGTTAGGCTCGGCCAACTCGGATTTCTGATTCTGCTTGGAGAGCACCGTCAATTCCGCCAGCAGATCTACAAATATATAATTATTAGATTCCCGTAATCACCGTTATTCTGGCAAAAGGAAGAGAGAAGCTCTTGCGAAAAACGAAAGTTCCAGGCTCGGTCTGCAATGAAAATCGTTAGTCGTTGGTCGGAGCTACGTGTCGGTCTTATTTCTTCCATCCGGAAAGGAAGGGGATCAACATACAGTTCCGACTTCTGACTAACGACTCGTCGTAGACCAGGCCCTATTCCGCCTGAACGTGTAACGTGGTAAAATCAACATGCGGACACGGGACGCCACGCGCACGTACCCTCGGCCTTCTTCGTCGGGTAAAGCTTCTGGGCCTTGCGGGCGAATTTCTCGGCCTCCTCGTATTTCCGCTCCCGCATAAACCGCTCCGCGAGCTCCATGCATCGCTCCGCCTCGTCCTTATTGCTGTCCATCTCGTCCGTCGCCGCCCGAGGGGAGTTGAACCGAGTTCACTCGCGATCGCAGTGACGGGGCAGAATGGTAAATAACGCGTGAGGCGTGAACCCTCAACCCCGACACTCCACCATAGTAATTCGGTTATTACGTCACGAGCATCGTCACGACAGCTGAGCAGCTGAACGAGCTGAACGCAGACGACGCGAGGCACGGCAGGACGGGCGCCATTAATCCCGGAATCGTTGCTCGGCCCTGCTGATCGGTCGTCACGCGAACCAGCCGGCTGTACGCACGAGTGAAGAGGCTCTCGAAGGCAATTCGCGGGATGATCGATATTTGGGAGATACGAGGTATCTCCGCGTGCAATCGGCCCTTCTGAATCGGAATGTACTTGTCGAACGCGGATTGGCTGTCGGGCGCTGGATGTTTAAGGCCTGTACCCACGATGCTAGGAACCATAGACTAAAGCCCGCTGCAGACGATGCTATTTTTCCTGCTGGAACGCTTGCAAATCATTTTCACTATATTGTAAAATACAGAACCGACCCTCTGGGGCTTGATTCTTGAATTTATTCGAAGGAGAAACGTATGCGAAAATTCTGAGGTGCTTTCGCGACGTAGAGTAAAATGATCCGGATCAAAATGATCCGTGCTATGATTGGTCAAATCTGAAATTTCATTGAATAAAATTTCAATGAGATGCTACAAAATTTCAGATTTGACCAATCATAGCACGGATCATTTTGATCCGGATCATTTTACTCTACGTCGCGAAAGCACCCCTGATCTCACAGAAAAGTTGCAAGCTGATTGGCTATTCGCGTGGCTTTAACCAATCGACTTTCAACTTTTCTGTCAGAGCAGAATATTCGTATACGTTTCTTTTTCGAATGATTTCGAGAATCGGGCCCCTGGGATGCTTTCGCGACGTAGATCAAAATGATCCGGATCAAAATGATCCGTGCTATGATTGGTCAAATCTGAAATTTCGTAGCATCTCATTGAAATTTTATTCAATGAAATTTCAGATTTGACCAATCATAGCACGGATCATTTTGATCCGGATCATTTTACTCTACGTCGCGAAAGCACCCCTGGTCTCGAGAAATGCGTAGCCAATCAACTTGCAGCTTTTAAGCCCAATTTCCACGATGCTAGAACTTGGTCCAAGTTCTAGTTTCGAAAAATCTGTAGCCAATCAACGTGCAGCTATTCCTTAAAAGCTGCAAGTTGATTGGCTACAAATTTTTCGAAA